TGGGAACTGGTGGTGCTGCATCCTGCTGCCAGATTAAGAGAGCTCAGGGGCTACAATGGCCGTGGATATTTAGCAGAGGGATTTGTCTGTCCCTTGAAGGAAATTGTTTCTCCAACAAATGTTGCTTAATTTAACTGCCACAGCCCAAGACACAGCAGGTTTTCAAAACATAAGATTTGTGTGAACATACATAAACTCCATGGGCACTGATCCCAGAGGAAGAAGTTACTGACTGTCAACTGGTAATTGTTTTGGGAAGTGAAAAGGGACTGTGATGCTTGTAGGGTATATGAGTCTTTTTCTTTGGCAGTACATATTCCCAGAAATGGAAACAATTTCTCTGGCTTCAAACTTTCAGTAAAAATGAAGAAACATGTCTTCCTTTAGGAAGAAATTAGTACTTGCAGACAACTCTGGAAAGCCAGATTATTGCTGTTAAAATGTAAATATGAATTGCAAAATTGAAACACAATTTTTGACCATGAATGCCTTGTTCTTTTATCTTTTTTTGACTTGTTGAGTCAGCACTTAATAAGTGTAATATTGTTTGATCTTGCATTGCTGTAAAACTGGAAATCACTGATCTGGTTCATTTCAGGTTAATGGAAATCAGAACCATCTGTGGCCTTGCTGCTCTTAAAAACTGAAATGTGTTTCTGTTATGATTTTATAAAGCATAAAGCATTTTAGATTATTTCAAGTGTGTTAATTATTGGAGAAAATATAGCCACATCTGTGAGTGATAGATGTTAGGTACAAATACTTCTTTGGTATTTTATATTAATTTCAATTTTAATTGGTATTTCAGAACACTGTATTTATTTTGTGACTGAATATAATGAACTGTTGGAAGTTATTAATTTGTCACTAAGCAAAAGTTAATTAACCTCCTAGAAATCTAAATTTGGAAAAAAACCCATAATTATTTGGGTAAAATATGTTATTTTAGAATATTTACGTCTTTCCTAAGGTGAAAGTAATTATTGCAGAAACACTGGAGTTATGACCATGAGATAACATGAATACAGTCATCACTGAACAGACTCCCTCAGCTAAAAATCTATGCAAAAGAATAGTGGCTTTCACAAATTAATACCTTTAAAAGGGTTGTCTTTTACAAAAAACTTTTTTCCCTTCTTCAGTGGAGGTGAAAACTCTTAATCTTGTTCTGACAGTGATGGACTGCTCCTGCAGCCTATAGATATGTAAAGCTATGTTTGTTACTTCTAGAGAAGTAGCTTTTCCCCTGCTTTGTATGAAGAACTGCTCAGTTGAGTTGCTTTAGTAATTTAAGTACTGCTTTACATTTAGCAAAAACTACAGTTTATTTGGTGGTTTCCAAACAGGAAAGAAATGGGTGGCCTGTTCTTTGAGTGTTGTAAGATACTGCTGAAAAAAAATTTTAGAAACCTTTGTTTTGAGTTTATTTTGGGTTACTGAAAAGGAAATGATAGGCTGTTAGTGAATGAAGTACAATTTAATCTCTTCAAAGTACATAGTACTTCGGTAAAAATGTATGCTTTAAAAATGCTTCTTTCATCATGAATTTAGAGTGCTGCTGTGCAAACTGAAATGTAGGCCATTTGCCTTAAATTCACAAAGGCTACATGTTCAGACTGTGCATTAAAAAAAAAAATAAAATCTTAGCGGTGTGTTTCTTCCATGGACGTTTAGCATGCAGATGTTGCCAGTCAGCAAGCCAGAAGAGCCCTGGTTCTGAATTCTCATGAACATCTGATATTCATTCAGTTTGAATGTGAGCATGTGAGAGGGAGATCCCATTTCCATCTGCTGACTGCAAAACATGCTGATGTTTTATACCTGTCAGGAGTTCATGTTCAGGTGGCTCAGTTCAGGTATCAGAAACATTCAGCTTCCTATTGCTGGTCTGATTTCTGCTCTTACTGATTATGTGTGCCATAGTTTGTTTAGCTGTACATACACATTGTCCAGACTTGTTTGAGGGTTAACAGGAGATTATTTCTTAATAATAGTTCTGTAAACAGTGAAAATCAATCTAGGGTTGCTGAAGATCTTTAGAATGGTTCTGTATACTTATTGTTTTTTAGAAATTGGTATCAGAATAGTAATAATTTGGTTATAGAACACCACAACTTTTGAATTAATTATTATTTTTATCTGGAAGGTTCTTCTATAGTTTTTTCTAAATATAAATACGTATATATATATGTAATATTTAGTGACTCCAGTGGATTAACTAGGATATTTTGCCCATTGAAAGACTTCCCTAGAAGTTACTGAAAAATTAAAATATTAATTTTATAACATCTGTGCATATCTATTGTTAACCATGGGTTTTGTTGTGAAGAAACAACCTGGTTTCTAGGCTCCCTAGTCTATAGATAAGGCTGTAGAAAGTTAGAAACTGATTCATTATGCCATTGGCTACCCCTTTATGTTTCACAGAGTATTTCCTTTGCTGCCTTTGACTATCCCCTTCTTATGCCAGCAGGCCACAAAACTTGTGGTAAACACTTCTCTTTTGGGACTTTTATACAAATTCAATTCATGTATGATGCACTAGTTTTCAGGAAGACTGGAATGGAAAGGTTTAGAGAAAGTAGGTAAGAAAGTATATAAATGTAACATGTGGAAATACTGTATCATTTGCTGAAAGATATTTCAATTACTTAGGCTTCTTGACCCTTTTGCTGTCTGGAAAACTGCAAAACTGCAAATCTTGGCTACTTTGTTATTTAGTGTAAATGATGTTGTATCTGATATTCTCTGCGTATATATGGTGAATTCTGTTCATTTATAAGGTGGCCTGCTTTTTAAGACAAAATTTGATATATTGTGTTATGTATGTAATCCCAACTTGAAGTATTAATGGTTCTTCCGTGTTTCCAACACCCAATGGTCGCATGAAAATGAGGTTAAGTTTAAAGTTAAAACTGTTCTTATGGTGCTATTTTTAATTGTTTCATATGTATGCTTTTACAAGTCTCTTGCATTGCTGTAGCAAAGACCTAAGTATTTCTTTAAAAATATGGGAATGAACTAATAGGAAGCAAAACAGTCAATAAAGTCAATCTTTAGTATGAAAAAACACTTCCCTAAACTAAAATATGTTTTAATTACACCTAAAGAGGCCTCAGTGCGATCTGCCCTACAAAACCCATGTAAACTATTTGTCAGTGGTGGTCGGCCAAAAAACACTTAGGGGACAAGGCAAATCAGACAGCTGAAGTTAATTAGTGTCATGTGTGCATCACAAATGCAGAAAGGCTTAAAAGCCACCGTCAGTACTCCCAAATAACACAATCGGGAAATAATTTCTGAGTTTGGCTCTACAGTGTGATTTGACTGTGGGATCTGGAAGATTAATTTTTAAGTGAGTTTTATGAAAGCTTGCAGAATAAGAAGTGATATATTTTGTTAAATAATACCAGTCACAAATTGTGGCGGCAGTGAGAAAAAAACAGTTCTTCACTACCCTTTCTAATGGCGATTTATTCAGATGGCATAATACTTAGATTATGGACAGTTTTTTGAAAGGTGTTGTTCTAACTGTAAAGTCTAGTAGCTTTACAAAATTGGAGGAGTGTTTTTTTCTGTGACTGGTATAGGATCAGCCCTGATTAGATACCTCTTCAGCTTTTTTGGAAGTCTTCTGTATGGGAAGAAAGTAATTCTGTAGTTTTGTTTTGCTTTATAGATGAACAGCATAAGAAATTAAATCATCGGTGGTATTGTTGAAAAAAGTTATATTACAGCGAGGCACAGACTATAATTTCATCAGCATATAGGAATTGTATACTTATAAAACAAATAAGCATCAATTGTATAACTTCCAACACTGATTAAAATATTTAATGTTGAAGATGAAGTCATTCTACACAGTATTCTTTTCCTGATGGAATATCTTGAAAGAATAAAAATGTTGCATTGCTTAAAAATAAAATTTAAAGCTCAAGAAGAATCTTAAAAAAGGATTTTCAGATTATATGCACGTTCTTATTTTACTGTATTAAATACTTAGTAATGAACAATACTGTGGAGTTTAGCTGCTAATGGTTCCAAGTCTCAACTGGTATCAGTTTTGAAACAACTTTGGTTGAAATACTTGTTGAAAGCATACTGAATGAATGAATGAAGCATCAATTGCTTCACTATGAAATAAAATGTTTTATGCAGATATACTTCATGTTTCCTCAAAATGTCAAGTTTCTCCATATCAGCACCCCAGGAAGAGAAAAATCTGGTAGAAAAAGCTTAGGAAATATTGTTAGGTTTTTCCCTATGAGGGATGGGAACCTTGCATATGCATATTTCTAGCACCTGCTATTTTAAAAAGCAAATTAAAATACTCTTTCTCCATACAGTAGCATAATATCTGACAGTCAATCTGCTGTGTACCACCTTACTGTTCCAACTGTTTAATTCTTCTTCGGCAGTAATAGAAGCAGAATGTGAGATGTAGATTCAGGTTCCCCATACTGTCTCTCCCTTCAGTATACTGAATGTTCCATATTAGATTCCTACCTAATGATTTTTGTTTTTTAACAAAGAAAATATTTCATTTATAGACAGTTGTGAAAAATCTCACAGGCACAAGGCAGTTGCCAGTGATTGGAGGTGATGTGGCCTAACTATTTAACCAGTGAGCTTTGAGTGCTGTTTTTCATCTATAATACAAGTCAACTTGGAAATAGAACACGTAAACTTTCATTGAAGCTATTGAAATATAAAGTTTCAAATTAACTTCTAGACGGTAATCATTTTCTCAGTATTTTAATCTAATTTTTATCCTGTATGTCATTGCACTCACATGAATAAGTACAGTTCTTTCAAACTGATAGGGTGATCAGCAATTATAAATTTATATGGAAATACATAATATATACACATATTATATGTACATGTAAGTACAATTAAATATTTGATATATGTTTATATATATAGTTAAATAAAAATTATATATAAAATATATAATATAAATATATGTGGTTTTCTTTCTTTTTTTTTTTCTGCTATAGGGCAGACTATACCAGAAAGAAGATTTGTAGAAACAGTAAATCGTGAAGCATATCATTATCAAATTGGTGACTTTCCAGCAGAATGGGAAGGTAAATATTTTGGTTTTATTTCAGGATAATTTTGCCATTGAATGTAGACTGTATTTTTAATGGAAAGCCTGGATATGTAAACAAGTAATTTGTTAACTTTCCTTTTGGATAAGGCAGACTTTTATTTAACTGGATAACAATTATGAATTCTTAAAGTAACTTCTTTAAGAATGGGATAAATTTTGTTTGAGAAGTCAATACTTAATAAAAGCCTGTGTGGAAATGTCGTATTCCTATTACATATGAGAATATTTGTGCCTGTGGAGAATCTGACTGAATGACCAGCATGAAATGCATTAAATAACACAAAACTTCCTTATTATTCCTTTAGTGCAGAGTTAATATATAGGTTGACCTACATATTGGTGGTACAGTGATAGGGCTGCTTTTTTCATGGTGTATTCAGTTTCCTATTCTCTCCCTTGTGCAATCTAGTAGAGAGTTGGAGAATCTGTTAATTAACCATTTTGTCCAACTGCTACTAGTTATTAAATTCTTGATTGAAAATCTGGGATATAATAAAAATTTCAGGGAAGTTAACTCATTTCCTTAGGATTAGCTGATCAGCTCCTGGAGAAAGAGAGAAATAAGAGAAGGACTATATGTTTGTCTTTGAGGTTGGTAGGTGCTTGAGCCAAGTGTGGGATTAAATGTGACTTAAAATCCAGAACTCTGCAGCATAAGCAAGGAATCCCTGAAAACTATTGTTTTATAATATGTACTAACAAGGAGGCTACCCAGCACTCAATATGCTTTTTGGAGAGGAAAAATACCTAGGCATCTCCCAGAAACTGGTAGGTTCAAAGCCAGCAGATTTTAAGCAGTATGTATTTAAGCTCTGCAATTCCTCATCATTGAGTATTCTGCTTGCTGGAAGTTTGCATGAGTTCAGTAAGAGATTAAAAGTATTGGTGGAAGAAAAATTGTTCTTGCACACAGATACTACCGTGGTTTAATTTGTCAGTGCGCTGCAAATGAATTGAGTCTACAACATGTTTTGAGGAAATGTCTTAGTATACTTGCTTTATACTTGCTTTACCTTATTCTCTTTCCTTTATGCTTGATGCTCTTCTCTGAGGGAGATGATGCTGAGCAAAGAGAAAACTTCAGGCCCATTACATCCCTTCATGGAATCAATAGGAATGTAGAAAACATTATCTTATATTTTATCATTGTCATTACACTAATTCCTAGGATTTTTGCTACAATCATCTGAGGCTAGTATTAAGAGCTGAAGGCATCTAGTTTGACAGTGTTTGCCAACTAGTGAAACCACAGTATCAACAGTGTCTGTCTTCTACTGCTGCAGTACCTACAGTGGGTTGGCAAGTCTTGCCCTATTGTTTCTCGTTCTTTTTCAGTCCGAGATAGCCATCTTCTGAAGGAGAGCAGCAACTTGATAGGCTTGTCTTAACTAAATCTTCCAGTGCTTGAATGGATGAATGCTGTTTATCCAGCTTTCTGAAGGTCTTTTTCCTCATCCAAAAGTGCTCAAATCATCAGTGCTTATCTTAGTTCTCTGTGACTGTCATGCAAGCACTGCACCACAGACACCGAGAAGCATATATGAAGCTTCAGGCAACTGCTCTCCTGTGAATGAATTCTCATCCAGGACAATTCACTAGTCTCTGTCTGCACTTGGCTGGAATTAACAGGAGCACAACGCATACAGTCAGACTGTCTCAGATGGGTGTAGGCTAATCATCCTTTCACAAATGGTCTTTAGACTGTAGTGTTCAACCAAATTGTAGTACAAACACATTGCTTCATGGTATTGGGACCTGTGAAGCACTAAAAAGCCACTGCTATATCTCTCTTCAGAAATTTAGCACAAATCCATGTGATCTGACAGTGTGTTGCCTGGAAGGTTGCAGCTTTTTAGGAGGTTGTGTGTGACAAGACTTTGAAGTCAAGTATCACATACTTTCATGGGCATATGGACTTGCCTACAGAGCTGCAGCTGCCACACCTGAAACACACTGTTCAAGTCAGGGCATCCTGTTCAGGTTTGTTTCAGAGAAGAAACAATTAACTGGCCAGTCCTGGTTTTATGAGCTATGTTTATAGGTTTATTGTTTAACTTCATCATCTTCGTAACTGTGAAGTTTTGTGTTTGTGATACTGTCAGCAAATGCAAAGAATTCACAGATTAAAGGAAAATTTGCAGTTTGCAAATTCTGCAAATTTCCTCTTAAGTACTTGTCCTGATTTTGGCCAAGGACAGTTAATTTTTTGCAATTGCCAGGAGGGGGTGTGGCTGATGGGGTGTGGCCAAAATCCAGGTGTTACACAATACCACCTCAAGTTATTGCTGGGAGTAGGGGAAGGGGATGCTGGCTTCAGAGAAACAGGGTGTGTCCTCTGGTTGGGAAAAAACATGGCTGTGATCATTTAAAATCATCCTTGGTGAGCATTTTGCATGTAAATTGCCCTCTCTTTTGTATGCTTTTATTTTTATTACTAATATTAATATATGTTTTCTTATCTCATTGCTGTTTCCAGTAAATTGTTATCTCACCCTATGATCTTTCCTTTTTGTGCCTCCCATCCTCCTCCCTGGCCACCCTCAGTGGGGAAGGGTGGAAGAGGAGGGCAGAGGGAACAAGCAGGCAGCAGCTTGGTTTGGGGAGCTTTTGTGGGAGAACTAAATTGGGGACTGCTGTTCCTCAACCACAACAGTACTGAATTTCGCTAGAAAGAAGAGATATGTGCATGCTTTTTTCCCTGGTGCATTTGTTAAGCAGAATGGGTGTGTAGTGTATGCTTCTGAGAGATAAAGATGGGAATTCTGGTAAAAAGGCTAACCTGTACTTTTTTGTTTTGTGGATGTAGAATTTTAAAAAGCCAAAACTAGTACTTCTGCTATGGGTATAGAAGCTGTTCAAAGAACTATTATGTCTTTGCTACATATTGTGGGGTGTGAGGGATGTAGGATGCTCTGAATTTCAATTCATCACTACTTCTATTTTGCCTTCTGTAAAAACAAAAAAATCTGTATTAGTTAAAAATGTAAAGGAATAGAAAGTGGATAGTTCAAATACTACTATAGAAACAAGTTATCTGAGTAAGAACAGTTTAATTCAAGATTTTTAGACACTCTTTGCTAAAATGTCCATTCCATTTCTGTCCCAGTTTTTTCCTCTTTAAGACTGGTATAGAAGTTTCCTAGGCCCACAGGACCTGTGCTGAACTTTCACTGTGTGTCTTCTGTCCAGATGCCTGAGAATTTCCCAGTACATTCTTTCTGTGGGTGTTTGCATTATGATTTGTGCTATAATGGATGCTGATCATTCCAGCAAATAACTTTAGACTTTGCTCAAGACTCCTTTTTTTTGAAGGAGTTCTAAAATACTTGCCATTTCCCCTGAACAGTAAAAGATTAATATAAGGTTAGAATCTTACTTCATATTTCTTACTTTGTTTTCTCTTTGCTTTTGGACTCTGCTGGGCACACACATCTCCAGGGGCTCCTCTCCAAATCCTGTGTATGTTCCTTTGACTTCCATGGCCTCTGCTTAAGTTTTGGCTGGCTCTCCTTTCTCTCCCTTTCAGGCTTTTCACTTTTAGGACTGTGCTGAAGAGTTTGTTGCCTTATCTCCTCCTTTTCTTGGGACCTATAGAGAGCTGCTTTTTACCAGCTGTCTGTTCTGCCAGGACTCAGGTTTTTTTACTTGTGGACAGTTCTTAATTTCCACCTCATTTAAAAGCAGTCATCCCAGCATCATTTCCCTTTCTTTGTTACCCTGCAACTGTAGGACCAGAAAAAGAAACCTCTTGTGACCAAAATTAATAAAAGTTCCATTCCTGGAAACACAGGCATCACTTGTCTGCAGAGAACTTTCACAAAACCAGGGACAAAGGATAGGGTAAGGAGTGAGAAGAGGTTGTAGAGAAATTGGAAGGGGGCAGAGTTAAATCTCATTCTGTACCTAAGACATTCAACTGTCTGGTACAGCTGGTAACCTAAGGAACTGATTCTGGTCCTTTGTTTATCAAGTTTTAAACATAATAAAGGTAAAGGAGGCCAGGTAGAAAGCTATAAAGTGTCACCCAGATCACAGGCTCAGTCTGTGTAAGCTGTTTCTTTGACTCTGGAGAAGGTGGTGTACTGGGTCCTGGGAGCTTACTTGAATACAAGGCCAAGGGTTTACTCCTGAAGGACTTAAGGGGAAATTTTAGCCTAAACATGTTAGTTTTAAGTGCTCTGCAGGATTGAATTATCTACATTCTCAGACCTGTGAATTTTATGAAAAGTTCTGAAATGTCCATTAAGGCTTTTGTAAAACTAAAACAGAATTCCTTGTGTTATCCTTACTGTTGGCTCTTTGTACACATAAAATTCAATTAATTTTAATTTTAAAAATCAATAACTGTATTTCCTCCGGTACTATAGTTTTAAATTTAGAATGCAATCCATATGTATAAAATAAATATTGCCTGGTTTTGTTTAGGTGAAGTCTGTTGTATTTTACTTCAAAGTGTGAGTACCTATTTTTCCTCAGGAAATATGGATGCACACAACAGATAATGTTTCTTTGTTTTAGTTCTGAATGTTCACCCATTGAGGAATGGGTAATTTACCTCCTCAAGATGTGTCAATAGTGCTCATGAGGGGAGAGCTGTAATTTTACATAGCACAGAGATGGCATGCTTCATGCAGCATTTTGTTTGTCATCTACACCTAATCTCTCTTATTCTTGGTAACATTTAGTGATTCATGAGAGTCATAATTTGTATGCTTACTTTTATGGTCATTGCAGAATGTTATCTACCAGTAGGAGTCTTAAAATTCAATGAAAATTTCATGTGTACTAATAAGGATACAAATGAGTGCTGATGAAAGAATGTGAATGTCCCAAGGTAGGAAATGTCCAGCTAAAAGGAATGCAAGATTCCTTTTAGACAAAGGTGGAATTAAAATGAGTGCATCCAGACAAAATTAGAAGCAGCAGTTTTAAATGGAGGCAATGATTCATTTTGCCAAAGCCTTTGGGTGCAGGGAAGATGTTTTGGTTACACTCAGTACATACATGTTACCTTCTCTGCCAGGTTTAAAACATCTTGGCTGGCAATGGTGAGGACATTTTGTTTTGTTAGCCTGGGAAATGGGAATGTCATGTAAAAAACATTTCCCAGCTATAACAGTCAACTTTTAATTACCTATATGCATGTGTGCATATGTTGTTCAAATAAAATGTAATAAAGCACCTACCTACATTGTTTCCATCAACAAATATTTGAGTATGGTATAAAGCTGTTCAGTAATTTTAAAGTGCATTCACCAAAGGTATAATGCAGATCCTAAAGAAAGGTGCAAGAGCTTTTTCTTTACTCAACTGCCTACACAGATATGTTTTCCAAAGAGAATGCGAAATATATAAACTTCAACATATTATTTACTTGAATTTTGTTAAACCTAGTGCTGACTCAGTAGGAAAATGGTTATATTTTTGTACACCTTCATTCTCCCTTTTCCCTACCATTAATTTCTCCTACACCTGAGTTATGAGGTGTTGGTGATTTTTTTAATTGTGTGTTGGGTGCTCAAAATTTTATTGATAACTTAAAAATCAAAGACTTGAAAGGCTTTTAAAAATCTTTCTGTTTCAAAGAAAACTACATAAAAACTGGTGAGAATTACATATATTAGTGTCCTCCCATTCTTATCCCCAAAGATTAATGAGTGGTCAGATGAATTATTAGTAAATGTATTTCTTTTCAAAGACTGATAAAATTATTAGATGCTAAACTGCAGTGTGCTAAAATATATTGAAATCAGATGATGTTTTCTTTGCTTTTAAAATTGTATTGCATCTTGAGCTTTATGAAGAATATTTGAGAAGTGGATTTGCATGAAGGAATATGATAATGTTAAATCTAACTAACTTCATCTTATGGATATAAAAAAAAATTAGTAAATTTTCATACTATATTGCTCCCTCAGCTACATGGCAATGAAGACATCTTCCATTAAATAATGACTTTTTTATGCAGTTCATGAGAGATATTACAATTAAATTACTTGCAGTAGTTCAGAAAATAATATCAATATTTGTGCCAACAAGTTTTATGTAGCGTTAAGCTGAAAAATATTTGTACTCCTGACATTTATTAGAAAAAAGATAGGTTAATAGCTCCAATGAAACCATCTTTCAAGTGTTGTTATAACTGGAAAAAAAGAGCACAGTGTTAGAGCTGTGTGCATTATTTATGTATTTAAATAGATAGAGTTCTATTATGGAATGTTTGATATGAAAAATCTTCCTAACTAAGGTTTGTTTCTTTGCTTTTGAGTTTTGATAGTGAATTCAGTTAATGAATGAAAATGTATTGTGTAGTGGTTCTTACTTCACAGCCTCTGTTCAGAGCACATATGTGATTGTGTTACCCTTCACTGTCTTGTTTGCAGCTTTTTAAATGAGGTACGTACTTAAATGATCAAATCATTTACTAGGAGTATTCCATTCATCTGAAAATCATTTGTTTCATCAAAACAGGAAAACCAGTTGCACTAGCATTTTACAGTGCTAATCCTACAGGGAGTTGCAGCTGTGTCTTTTTCCATAAGAGAAAGCAGAGAGATATTCCACAGTGTCTTTCATGCTGATGAGTTTGTAAAGTGTTTAGAAGCAAGTTTGACTGCTGATCTGTGTATGCAGATGCATGCACACACATACATGACTTGTCTAGCAGTCAAATAACTGTTAAAAGTCATAGGTGATCTTGAAAGAAAATCTATTGTAATGTTTATATGTGAGCAGTACTTTCTAACTGCAACTTAATTTTTGGAGTATTTAAATGTTTTTCTTTAGGGATCAGTTATTATAATCTGAAATAAAAATGCAGCTGGCATTTTAAGAAAATACTGCAATTTGAAAAAAAGTAAGTCAAATTTTACATGCTGAGTTGTGGGATTGAAAACAGTGGTACTATCCTTCTATAGATCAGAAGCAAGTTATGGTAAGGTAGACGTTTATATTTTGTTGAAAGTAATCTGTTAAATTTTGATGGTTTAAAGATTTACTTTTTATGAGACATTTTGAACAAGTATCTTTCCTTTCTTCTGTTTCTCCAGCTGTATCCTTTATTGATCAGTGTCTAGTATAGGTGCTTTGCTATATCTGAAATCTCTACTACATTTGCTTTTCTTGATGATGTTGCTAAGTATTTCAGTATTCTGAAACTGTTGCAAAGTAGGGACAAAGGTAACTCCTGTCAGGAGGAAGGGCTTTGTTAAGATTTTCTTCAATGGCATGGTTGGTTTTTTGCATAGTGTATGCAAGGCTGCCAGCTGAGAAGTGTCAATCTCTGTTTAGTCTCTCATCTTCCCAGAATTTGCAGTTTGAAATCCTTGTAAAATTTAAGTGTTTGTAAGTGCTACAGCTACATGCAAAAAGTTCTATAGTTCTACAGATTTAATAAAAAAGTCAGTTAGTTGTATTTTTGAATTACCTTACTGGGCTGTTTTTCTTTCCACTGACATAAAACTTGGAGAAAGGGTGATGTTGACTATTCATAGCTCTGTCACTTCTCCACAATGACAGATTTGGATCTACTTTTTGTTAGGAGCGCTGAGTAGAGATGACAGGGAATGCTTTTAAGAAAAGTAGTTTGAGAAAGACGTTTAAAAGTACGTATCTTCAGGAAGTGGCATCTGATAGACAAGAACCAAAAGGGTTACCTTTCTTCATATCTTTACAGGTATTTTACCATTAAACTTTACCATTAACCAAGGCTGTTGGCCTTGACATCCTGGCTAAATTCCAATCTGTTCTACCATTTCATGTAGCATTGTACCATTTCCCTTTGTTCATATGTTAATTGGAAGCTAGTCTCCCTAAAACCAGTTGCATACTGCTGCTGAAGCCATGGTGTTAGTGTTTCATCTTCTATGTAATTGCATTTTCAGGAGCGAGATGATGTTATGACTCCGTTTAGGTTTTAGTCTTAGGCTTGCCTAAAACATCATTCCCTGGTTCCCGTCAAAATACAGCACAGATGGTATTAGAAAATTAAAATATGGAATAGTTACTTCTTAAAGCATTTCTGAAACTTTATAGATGACAACAGGTAAGGCCAGGAATTTGAGTGGGTTATAGGAAAATGCTATTTTTGCTCTAATTTTCAAGCATAGTAACAAAAATCTTAATTATCAAAACAAACGTATGAAATAACATTTTGCTGCATCTCAGCCCTTGGAAGTGGCTTTCCTTATGTTTGTCATTCTGTTCATTACTGGCTATTTGAATTCTGCTACTAATTAATTTGAAAAATATGGAAAGATGAATGTCTTTGAAGTATCCAACCGAGAACCTACCAATTGTGTGGATTAAAATGGTGTGAAAAAATGTTACAGTAGTGATATTTCTAAAAAGTAGTGTCAGATCATTCCTCTAAATAATGTCTGTAATAGTTGGAGCTTTCTCTCTTAATTCATTGACACAAAGTGAGACCTGTCAGTGTCTGTGATGGAGTGTCTGGATTGTTGCCTCCTGACAGTCCCAGCTAACAGTGATGTTAGTGATGGGAGTGGGCAAATGTCTGTGGATCTTGTTCAGAAAACAGGAGCTATAGGACAATTGTCACTGCGATAGGACAATTGTCACTGCCACTGCTTTTATTCCTCTATTCCTCTGCTGTACTTTTCTAGCATGATTTAACTGAGATGGAGGGATCCTTCCCCCAGTCATGGTACCCGCCCCTCCTGGAAGTGAGTAATCCCACAGAACCACACAATATGTTTCAGTCCAGGCTCTGCAGTCTCTCAGTCAGGTCTGGGTCTGTACCTTTCATACCCATAAAGGAATTCTACCTGGTAGTAACATAAAAAAAGTTTTCAGCTTCAAGAATGTCTGAAGCATGTACAGGAATCCTTTTTCTTCAGAGTGGTCTAAGGCTGTTCTTAATTTCCATCAGTCAGCTTGTAATTTTCTTAGGGTGTACTCTGTTACTCTGTTTTTCAAGCTCAACAATAAGCCTGTGCCATAAGCCCTGCTCTTTAAGCTCTGTTTTGACAGCCAAAGTAATATGTAAACCATGCCCAAGGTGTTTGCACAGAGGTGACACCATCCTCCCACCCCTCCCTTCTCTGAAGACTGAGTATTGAAACAGGAGATAACATCTTGTGCCTACAGTTTGGGAAATGACAGGTTTGCCAGGTTGTGGTGAATTCTATTGTAATTTTTTCATAAATACTTACTTTCTGTTACAAATTCATAATAATTTTGAGTTTTAATACTGTGATCTTTTAAATAATCCATTTGATTTTTTTTTTCAGCATGGATAAGAAAAAAAAGAGAAGATCCACCCACCATTGAGGTGAGATGAAATGTCTTTAAATTTTCAATTGTTGTAATGAAACTACCATAGTTAATTTATAGTGGACTCATCTGTGCAGTAGTCTGTCACTTGTGGGGGAGAATTTAGTATATTCCTTGCCTAATCGGTGAAAACATGCACTGACTAGGTATAGAACACTTAGAAAAATGTAAAATAAATGGAAATATAAACTCCGTTATTCTTCAGTCATTCTCTGTGTGAATTCTTTTAAGATGGTATACACAGGTTCTTTAAGATGATCATAACCATTGAAGAGTATCTTCAATTAAACTAGTTCTTAAATTACTGTTACAGCTTTTTTAATTAATGTAAGGTTTTTTTCATGGTAGTTGATATTAAAATGTGGGTTTCAAACCCAGCTGCCAGTGGTTTTATCAAAACAGGAAAACCAGTTGCACTAGCATTTTACAGTGCTAATCCTACAGGGAGTTGCAGCTGTGTCTTTTTCCATAAGAGAAAGCAGAGAGATGTCCCACAGTGTCTTTCATGCTGATGAATTTGTAAAGAGTTTAGGAGCAATTTTGACTGCTGATCTGTGTATGCAGATGCATGCACACACATACATGACTTGTCCAGCATTTCTATTGCAAGTTTCTAAGGAATGGGAGACGTTGTTTACTGCAGAAGATTCCAAGTTGCACCCATGGAGGCAGATACTTGACTTGCATCTGGAGTAACTGTGACACGTTGAGAAAGAAGATACGTTGGCATCTCCAGCCATTTGGGTCACTGAGATCTTCTGGAACGTCCTGGCCTGTGAAAAGTTGTCCTGACTGTCTGTGTGTTGAGATGACCTGGGGAAGATTGTCACCTGATACTGACAAACTGTAGCTCATTGAAACAAGCTCCTACACAATATACTAATTATTTTTTAACTAATTATCTCCGCCCCTCTTTCACACTGAGGCTATAGAAACAGTAAGGGCTATAATACACCCAAAATGAAAGAAGTTTAAGTTAAATTTAAGTTAAATCTAAGCTTTAAATTGAAATTTATTTAATGGTATTTATCTATTATTATTTTATTATTAATTATTAATAAATTTTCTTATTAATATTTACTTACTATTATTTATTATAATATTCATTATTATGCTATTATTTTTATTTATTTCCTTATTATTAAATTTAAATTTATTTAAGTTAAATTATTAAATTATTAATATATATTATATATATTTATATATAAATTATTAATTATTAAATTAAGTTAAATTATTTATTTAAGTTAAATTTATTCTTAAACCTATTCCGGGAAGTAGTAAATGTGGGTTTGTTTTTCTATTTTTTAAATTTTTTCCCTTCTCTCCCCAGTCTAGTTACTTATGTAGAGCCATGGAACTGATACTACAACAGTTTTTCCATCTAAGTTTGAACTGACCTCATTATAATTGCTTCTCACTTATACAACTTGCAAACAACTTTTATTGTTGAAATTACCACTTAATGTGATACTTGAAGATGGGGGGTGTTGTGTCTTTTGTTCTATGATTTCTGTAAGCCAGGCTGCTGTGGTAGTTGCTCTGTGGTAAACCTGCTTCAAGGCAGGCAGCCTTGGCTCTGGAATTGGTGCAGTGAAACTCCTTTTGGTGCTAGAAATGCTGGTTCATTTTTGAATTAGGGAGCAAGAAGTCTCCACAGGTGAGAGAACTGTAGCACAATAGTGTTCTAAATATTTTACCTTCAAGAAAAAGCAGTTTATGGAGAGTGAAAGATTGCTGTGACTAATGGTGCATTAGAGTTACAGGATTTCTTATATTTTTAGTTTCATGAGGTAATAGATCTGAGAAATAATTTAGCAGCTAGGTACTTTACCTGCAGGGCTGTGCATTGACCATATCACAGAGCAGAAATGATAAACTAGGAATTTGAAAATTGTTACCTTCTCAAGTAATCTCTAAATAGTTTTTTTCTTTTGTAAGAAAAAGTAGTTCAAATATATGTATGTTAAAAATTCTTGCTAATTTTTGGAAAGAGTGCTGCCATTATACTCTTAGAATGTGACAGTAAAGCCTAATTTTTTTCTCTGTATTACAGAGACTAATATGGGGCACTATATGATCCTCTTTTCTCCTAATTTGAAACTGGCACAAACCCTTCCATCACAATATCATTATAAATATAATTATAGTATTGAAATACATATAGCATATTGTTTGGTCCCTGTTTGTAGGGCTGATTTGCTTTGGTTTTTAGCTATATAAACTTTACTGGCTGCTATTCCATGTTATGTTCCCCTTTTGACAGTAAAGATGGTATGGTAAACTGCTGTTTGGCTGCTATGAAACAAGGGAATGTCTGTGGCATATTCCATGTTGAAACCCTGTATTAAAAATCTTCGTCTTTCATGTATTTGTCATGAGATCAGACTGTTTCTGAAGATAAATGTAAAGCCCACAAATTTTTCATTTTTGCTTTAATGACATTTTGCTGTCAACATCTTATTGTAACAACCCTAAGTTCCCAAAGCATAAGTTTCTGGAGCTGTGCCTATGTTCCTATCTTTGCAATCTGTAACAATACTTTTTTGGATGGTTTTTCCTCTCTTTTCTACCCTAATCCTTTCTAATATCAAATGACATATGTTAAACTTTATTACAATTTCTGTTTCACTTTGGTTAGCCTACCATCCCCCTTTCGAATCTTATATATGGGTTTTTTAATATTTGTCTATCTTATCTTTTATTAGCTCTTGGCTATTGATGGTAGAGGTTGCCCAGCTGCTCAGGTTTCATGATGAGGTCTATTACTAATTTTTAATTTAAAATATTGCAGAGATACAGCTTCACAAAGCAGTTCAATCTTATGGATCACACTGCTGACCACATGTTGGGAACCAATGATTTGGTAAATACTGTAGGCTAATCAAATGTCATTCATAATCATCAGGACATGTCAGTCATTTAAGTGAGGACAAATGTGAGTTGTTCCTCCCTGACAGTTGTAGAGTAGTTGGATCATGACATCAAACTAAGTCTGTTGATTGTTTTCTTGAGACTGGATCATGTTTTGTATTCAGGCCATTCTTTCTTCTACAAATACTTAACTAATATTTTTTTTTTGTTTGTTTGCTTGCTTGTTTCCATTATAAAACTTTCACTTTGCTCAGAATAAGTGACTTTACCTCTCTCTTTCTTCAGTTTCTCCCCCTTTTTTTTTTTTTTGTAATGGAAGAATATTTGTGCAGTGTTAAATATACCACATCCCTAATGGTTTCTTTCCTCTTTGTGCACCCATCCCTTTTCCACCATTTTTGAAGGAAGCCACTTGTCCTTCTGTGTCTGGCTAGACATAACTCATGAATACTGCTCATCACCTTGGTTATATCTAACCTGGCCAGTTACATAAGGAATGTTAATGCTAGAAGCCTTGGGCTGTAAAATAACTTTCTGGGATACTGGATAACTGGTTGCCTTTTGATTTTTTTACAGCTTGAAATATGCCAAGTCTCAACTCAGTTATGTTAAGGATGATATCTTGACAAATTATTGCAGATGACCTTGTTTCTTATGTTCTGCTTAAACATACTCTGTTCCTATGGTAATCAGGGAATCTGTCTTGATACAGAATTCTGGATCGCGCCTTTGCCAGGTCTGAGCATGTGTACAATATGTGTACAGTACATATATTCCTTAATAACAGTGAGAATCTGAGCTTGAATATGTATATTTTTGCAGTACTGTAGCATCCCGTCATCTGTACTTTTATATGTATATTGGAAATGATTATATATGGTTGGCTGAGGAAAATCATTACCTTTATTCCTGTGCATCTCTAAATTAAATTTTAACCAGTTTAACTAGGGATTAATAACTAAGTTGACTAATAAATTTCTTTATTATGTATGTCGGAAACTAGATGTATGTAGCAAGTGTTTTGGCAGATAGGAAATATGTCATTGTCCAGGGACATTACAGTTTTAAATTAATGAAAATACTTTGAAGGCTACTAATATTGAAATAATTTTAGTCAAATGCTATTTTGTGGAAGAAGATTTAGTAATTTATCACTTTAGATGCATATTAGTTCACCTGCTAAGCTTTAATGATGTCAGAATTTATTAACAAAAGTTGTCCTGAGATACAGCAGTTGTTTTATAGAAAACATGTTCCATACATGCAAGTTGTTTCTTTAAGAGGCTGTTATCTTCCATTCTTTAAGCTGTAGTATACTTTCTATATAGCTCATCCAAAAATTTCTGAGGTAAATGTAAATATGTTGTCTTGCATATGCTCCTACCTCCCAGTTTTCCTTCTGGCTACAGATTTCTTTGCTGACTTTAAACATGGCACCTTTGTATTTTGGATTTTTCACATCTTGTTTGGAAAAGAAAGAAAAGATGCTTATGAAGGCAGGGAGGAAACCTCTCTTCAGGCCTTTCTGTGCCTAACTTCTGTTTGATTTTTTTTCTTATTTCAGAGGGCATCAGATTTGTAGAGGCTTTTAAAGAATCCTGCCATCTATAACACAAGATACCCAAATATATTTAGAAATCTAACCCTTATTTTCTCCCATAACAGATCTTGTAGCTACAGACTACTAATGACTATGTCCTGAGGCTCAAGGGTATCTGAGAAACCTGGCCTTGTATAAGGTCATGTCTGTAGAATGGAGATAGAAATAAAGTTTCTTGGGGTGTCAGAAAACTAATGAGGAAACTTGCAATTATGGCAATACTGAGAGAAACTGGTATGGAGAGAAATGTGGTTTATCTCTGAACTCACCAGTGTGGTATCCTGAAAGTGGTAAATGTGAACCCATAGTAACACATCTATGTGTACAGAGATCTTTGTACTAGATAGTGCTTCCCTATTGATAATAGATGCTGCTTCCTCTGGAGCACAACACAGAGTTGCACAGCCACAAGTCTCAGTTTGAACTGAAACCTTTCTGTTGGTCTGTATGCATGTGTGTGCTATATTAATATTTCATGGGAAGTAAAGTAGAATTGCATGTTCCTTTAATTAGCATCAAGATCC